CCAGCACCGGCTCCTGTTTTCTCCTTCCCTCTCTCCTCCCCCCTCGCCTTTCATAGAGAGACAGCAAGCGGTGGGTCAACGAGTAGTTGAGTGCTCAACTCGACTACCTGATAAGTACTCAACTACCCCGTAAGGCTAAGCTTGACTACTCGCTTACATCCCTAGTTCTGTTACAACCCTTTTAAAACTTGTTCACGGTTTGAGCACCGGCTCCTGTTTTCTCCTTCCCTCTCTCCTCCCCCCTCGCCTTTCATAGAGAGACAGCAAGCGGTGGGTCAACGAGTAGTTGAGTGCTCAACTCGACTACCTGATAAGTACTCAACTACCCCGTAAGGCTAAGCTTGACTACTCGCTTACATCCCTAGTTCTGTTACAACCCTTTTAAAACTTGTTCACGGTTTGTGCTTAGTACCTTTTATGTATAAGTGGTTTTGTAATATGAGCCCTATTCTAACCAACTTCTGTGAGAAGGGCCTGCCTCTTGCTCACAACTTCCTTGCTTTATATTTGCAAAATCTTGACCACTGCTCTCTAGGCTTTCGGCCTTGTATCAGGCGTATAATACGTAGGCTTATGTTTTAGGCCCTTGTTTTACTACAGTAATTACACTTCAAGCAAATACATAATAATTTTTGTATATTGTAATCTTCTGTGTGTGGTTATTTAAATGTAGGAAAACCCAACCCAATTTATTTTTGTGTGACTGCACAGGGTTTGTATGTTTTTTGTTTTTTGTTTTTTTAAGAATTTTCCTCTGGGTAATCTTCTGCCTTAGAACGTTTAATCCTTGGTCTTATTTCCCTTAAATACGTGTTTCTTCAGTGTCTTGTGTCTTGTTAGTAGAACCACATATTTTAATGTCATAATAGTGTATAGGAGTGACTAGTTATCAGTTCCAGTGAAGTATAACCTACTGTCAGTCTATTCAATTAAGCTATTTCTTTGCTTTAATCCTTGAAGCAGGGTTAAGGTGGCCAATGGGGCAAAGAACTCCATTTAAAAGAAATATCATTTCCATTCATGAATCTGACAGAGCTAAAGGGGGCCCAAATTCTTAACTCATGTCTAGTACACAAATGATATTTTATTCTTACAGCTTTATTTAGTTATACATTTAGAAATACAATTTAACATATATTAAGAAATGTAAATGACTAGCTTGATTGGAATATATTTATATTATTCAAGAAAATAGCTTAGTTTCTGGATTTGAGTGCTTTTAATTTAAGATATTAACCTATATTTCCATAACTTGTTCTAATCCAAAAAGCCCCTTAATTTTCAGTTTACATTATCAGAAAAAGGGTCCATGAAGGAGTACAGCCTTCTGTTCAAAGTACAAACATTTAGCTGTGCAGTTACTTGAAATGATTTCTTATATACGTACTTTTTATAGTATTTTTGTCTTTTTTGCTTATAGATTGAAGCTGGACAATATTGTACTTTTGTCATTTCCACTGATGGTTCTGTCAGAGCCTGTGGTAAAGGCAGTTATGGGAGGCTAGGACTTGGTGACTCCAATAACCAGTCCACACTGAAAAAATTGACTTTTGAGCCTCATAGGTCTATTAAAAAAGTATCATCTTCAAAAGGATCTGATGGCCACACTTTAGCATTTACCACAGAGGGGGAAGTCTTCAGCTGGGGTGATGGTGACTATGGAAAACTGGGACATGGAAATAGTTCAACACAGAAATATCCCAAACTTATTCAGGGTCCTTTACAAGGAAAGGTAGGTTTTATACAATGGAAAGTGTTTTTGTTTTCATGCCTTTTTTATTTAATACCGTTACTTTTCTATGGCTTCAAATATTTCAGTTTCTATGTAAGATTACTCTTTGCAGGAGGCTGGAAGCTCCCTGTTTCAGCTAAGCACCTAACACTCAAGGTTACTCACTTGAATAGTTCTTTTGGTGGTCAGAAGATATAACTCATGTGCTTAAGTCAGCATTTCTCAAACTGTGGGTTCCGACCCTCCTGGGAGGGTCGCAAACAAATTAGAGGGGGGTTGCGAGCAACTGAGAGGCTGGTTACAGCAATGGGGACAGGGGTTGCAAGCAGCTGAGAGGGGGGGTTGCAGTATCACAAGTTTAAGAACCCCTGGCTTAAGTGCTTTGCTGAACTGGTACCTAATTTCAGAAGACTGTTGAACTTTCAGTTATATGTAATTTAATACAGAATTGTTAACACTGACAGCGGCTTTTTTCCCCCAGAGTTCATTAATTAATTAATAACTCTTCCGTGCAGAAGATGAATATTGTCTTATTCCCATTTTTTCTAATGAAGAAACAGACAGAGGCCTAATGACTTGTCAAGGCCACAGAGAGAGTTAGTAGTAGAACCAGCATGGGAGTATCTTGCTGTTAGTTCTTGATCAATATTAAATGGCAGTATATACCACTTTAGATGATTATTTTTTAAATGACTCTCTTGAGATAATTAAGATGACACTCTTATAACTGGCATACATGTGGTAGTGAGGCAGAGATGTGGAAAGGAACATGCTACTTTCCTGGGCTCCATGTACTCTATTTGACTACAGATTTTATCCATTGTAAGGAATGCCTGCACTGGACAGTTCTCAGACCCTGAAACACATTAGTTGATCCAGAACAGGTGGTACAAAGTTCATACGTGTCTTGTTGGGTGAAGGTGAGCCTTTTCATGCTTTGCCCTATGATAACTCTTGGTTTGCACTTGTAGGGAGTAGAATGGGTTTTTCTGCCGCCTTCAATTTCTGCTGCCAAACCAGATTGGCTTGCAGGCATTGATTACCCAGTTACTCTGCTTCAAACTTGCTTGTTAAATAAAAGTTGTGGCCACATAGCTAAATTTCAGATTTCTTTCTTTGTTGCCCCCTGCCATTTGCAAATGCTTGTTAAATATTAAAAGAACACTTATAACTAATTTTATGAACAAGTTTTATTTGAGGGCAAACAAATGGACTTATGGTGCAGTAGTCCAATGGTCTATTGGAAAGCATTGTTCATAGTCCTGTTCTGAATCTGATCATAACCCATTGCTGAATCAAAATTCTTTATGCTTCTAATTGCAACAGCTTTAGTTTTAACAACTTTTTTCCCCCTTGCATGTAATGCAGGTAGTTGTATGTGTGTCAGCTGGATACAGACATAGTGCTGCAGTTACAGAAGATGGAGAACTATATACTTGGGGTGAAGGAGACTTTGGAAGATTAGGTAATTTAACACTTTCTTGTATGAAATTGACATGACTTGTTACTTTTGAAAAGGGCATGTATTTAGTAATGACACTACAGGTTGAACCTCCCAAGCCTGGGACTCTCTGGTCCAGCAACATCCTGGGTCTGGAAGTGCCCCGGATGTTGTTGGACCGAAGAGCACCGGAGCAATGCAGGGGCTGGGGAGCCTTGGCTGGGCTAAGTAGCATCTGGGGAGCCTCTGGCCTGTCCATGAACCCCCAGCATGGTCAGGCGGTGGCTGGGAAGCCCCTAGCGTCAGTGGGGCAGTCAGTGGCATTAGCAGGGCCATGTGGCCGGGGTTGCAGTGAAGCTACCAGTGGCCCAGATGGTCCCAGCCAAGAATCCCGGGAAATCCTAGTGGCAGTGGGGTTGTGGTGATTGGGAAGCCTGCCCTGAGGAACCCCCGGCTGAAGCAAGTCTGGCAGAGGTGGCTGGCCCTAGTCAGGGAACTGGCAGAATCCCCAGCACCAGCAGAGCAGCCTCACAGCAGGGCGGGATGGTCAGGAGGCCCTGGAAGGGGAACCCCTGTTGGCAGCAGGGTTAGTGGTGGCTGGGGGAGCCCAGCCGAGAACCATGGAGAAAACCCTGCAGCAGTGGGACTGGCAGTGGCCAACCAGTCCCTGAACCCTGGGAGATTCTGGGGGGCAGCAAGGTGGGGAGCCCTTACTGGTCCAGGTTTAACCCCAGGGAGAGGAGTCTGGGAACAGGGCAGTCATCAGGGGAGCACAGACCTTCCCTGTTCTGGCAAGCTCGCTGGTCTGGGACAGGTCAGGACCAGAGGGTTCTGGACCAGGGAGGTCCAACCTGTACACATTTAGACTTTTTCCTTGTATATTAGGATTCCTAAAGTTTTCATATTTCTTTGCAAAATTAACTATTTAATGGCAAAGAACCTGCTTCTCCCCGGGCTCCAAACTGTTGTCGTCTTACCTTCCTTGGTGACCAAAGTATTTCAGATACTTCAGCCTCCTCGGCAACTTCTGTAATTTAATAAAAGAGACACCCTTTTGTGGAACATGCAAGTGTAAAATTAAAATGTAGGTCAAGTACTTTGGTTTCTTAAATGATTGCATATAGGACAAACTGGATTTTAGAAATGTTGAGGGTCAACATGGGAAATGGAGGGTGGGAGTAGGGGTTTCTGTTCCCTCTTGTGTGAGGGTAAATGTATTGTATTCATTTTTCTATTTCCTTTGGTTTGTCTGATTTTGAATTTTCTACCTTTTTTTTACATTATTTGGGTTGTGAGCAAATGTTTTTCTGTTGAACTGTAAATGTTAATATTAATGGTTTTTTCTGTGTAGTTATTTATGGTGAAGAAATTGTTATAGATAAAAATTTAAGTTTAAACAGTAGTGTTCCAGGAGTTTTTTGTTTGAAGAAGGATTAATGGTGATTGTGTGCTTGGTGAACAAATTAAAAATTGTGTTGTGTTAATTTTGTTAAATGAAAATATACTTTTCTGTATTTTGAAATTTCACAATTCTTTAAGTTCTTAAATGTTTTTGCACTGCAGTTTTCATCAGGAAAGCAATGCTCAAATAACAGTACCACTAGAACCTCAATTCACAATGACTAGTGTGGTCCGTTGTGAATTACTGAAATATGCAAAATAAGTATTAAAAAATAAAATAAAATTAAAAGCTTCAGAGGGGTAGCCGAGTTAGACTATACAGGATAAACGAAAGCTCATGATACCATCTACATGTTTTGTTAGTCTTTAAAGTGCTTCCAGACTATTTGTTGTTTAAGTTTAAAAAATTAAAGCCATTATGCTGGATCTAAAACCTATTTTGTTCATGTTTGTTTATTTCAGTTTCTCATTTGTCCTGTGCCAGACCAGATCTGGGTGTAGTGTAGCCTTCCTCCGTGTAGGTGGTAAAAGCAGAACAAAGGGTACGTCTAGACTACATGCCTCTGGCGACAGAGGCATGTAGATTAGGCTACCGGACATAGTAAAATGAAGCGGCGATTTAAATAATCGCCGCTTCATTTAAATTTACATGGCTGCCGCGCTGAGCAGTCAAACAGCTGATCAGCTGTTTGTCGGCTCAGCACGATAGTCTGGATG